ATAAACCTTTAGAGGGCGATATTCCACACTAATAATAGTCGTCGCTCTTCCGGCGATAATAAGCGTCGTATATCTTCGCTATAGACTTACGTATATTATACTAACTAGTTATTAAGCGTTCGCTTCTCGTTCTCTTTTCGTCTCCGTAAGAATATCTATAAGAACTCTCGTCTAAAGGCGCTAGACTTATTTTATCGCCGCTACTTACGCCGCCTATATAGCGGCGACGGTAGAGATAAGCTTACTTCGGGCGAGGCGCTCGTTTACGAGACATCTACGAGTAGTACGCGTTACTTTCGCTACTTCTTTAATAATCGTAGTGACGCTACGAATTATATTTCTATACGTTTCGCTATCTTTCGGCTATTATTATATTAACTCTCTACGAGGTTTCTACTTCTTATTTACGTCGTATTTAAAAGCTACTCATCGCTAATAAGATCTACGATCGCGGCGACCCCGACGTCTTCGTATCTATAGAGATGCGAGGTCTCATCGATATTCTATCGCGCGAGATATAGACGGCCGTCGTCCGCGCTACTCGCCTCGCTCTTAGTCTCTTTACTATTAGCGACGTACGCGTAATTAACGCTACTCTAAATAGCTTTAGAGTAGTAAGCGTATCGTCTACGATCTAAATAAATCTACTTCTCGAGACGATTTATATTAACGTTAATATACTTCGTTAACGTATAAGTATACTTTTCTTTTACGTATTGTATATTAATAGTAGTAATAAAACTTTAAGCTCTATAAGTAAAGCGATAAGATCTTTAATATCTTATTCTTAAAGAAGAACGACGACGATAAGAAAGAAAAGAGCGTTAATTAGTCGACGCGTATTATTAAGTAGTTAAATAAGATATAAGTTAATATTACTCTTAAGCTATATATAAGTCGTATATATATTACTTATAGCTCTATATAATTAGATAATTAGATTAGACTTAGACTCTAAGAGTTACGATTATCGTCGTAGACTTTTCTACGATACGTTAGTATATCGCTACGAAAGATAGTATAGAATCGTAACTCTTTAGAGTAATTAAATAGTATTATTTAGTAATCGCTTACGAGCGTAATATATTTCGCTTATAAAAATTAATTAATTACTTTTATCTTTTTTCTTTTCTTATATTTACTTTAAATCGTTCGATTTCGCGCTATATATTCTCTAAGTACTCTTTTAACTTTTAGAAATTATACGTCTTTAAGAACTCTTTCTATTTTACGTAGAATTAAGTTTTATCTCGAAGTTAATATTTCTTAAGTACTTTCTTAATCTTTTATTTTTTCTTATTCTTAATATTTATAAACGACGATAAAACGACTCTAAATCGCGCGCGATACGTTTATAATAAGAAAATATAAAAAATATAGTAAAGTTAATTATATTTTCTAAGTAAATTAAGTTAATAAGTATTTACGTTAATTCTTTTAACGATTTTAAAAGAGTTTAGAAATTAATTCGTAAGCTTTTTATTTACGCGTAGCGTACGAATATACTTAACTATAAGAAGAACTTATAATTTAATTACGAACTTTATAGTCTTTCGTTACTTATTATAGTTCTTAGTTACTTAGTTAATATTTCGCTTAGTTATTACGTATATCTCGCTCGCTATATAAAGTAATTTCGTTAAGACTTCGACTCTCTTTCTCGCGACTATATTCTCGGTGTCTTTTTTTTACTTCTTATTTATAATATTTATATATATCTTCGATAAAAATTTATATATAATATTACCTAATATTTTTTTCGTAGTAATATTTAATATAATATTTATTATATACTTAACGCTAATTAATAATTTAATTTAATTTAATTATTAATAATTAATATAGTAGCGAAGATAATACTTTAGAGTTTAATTAGTTCGCTTCGTTTATTTATTAATCTATAGATAAAAAATAATTAAGAAGAGTTTATAAGTCGTAAGATATAAGTAGAGAGTTTTTTAATAAATTAATATAAATATTAAATCTTTATTATTAATAATTAATTTCGATACTTTATATTTAATAATTATCTTTTTTAATATTATTTAATTTAAATCTTAGATATTTATCGTACTACGATATTATAATAGAGCACTTCAGGGTTTGGCGTGCACGTGCAACAACGCACAGAGGCCTGTCCAGCAGATCAGGAATCGAGAACGCGTTTCTGGTTGATACTGACAACAACACCACCAACACCACCCAGAGAGGCAGCGGCTAGGGCTACGAACACCTAGCACAGCGGCAGCATCGAGGAACAGGACAGGACTGACAAAACACTCTCAGGAATTAGGTAGACGGCGTCAAAAACCATAGAATTCATGATACTCTGCTCAAACTGTAATGAATGGCACACTGCCAGCATTGTAAACTGTTCCGCACTCCCTCTCTGCCAGCCCATTTAGGTTTGACATGTGACTAGACAACTTTTTCACCTTGCCACCGCTCTACCAGCCCAGCACAGCCCATCACAGCACAGCCACCTTGCCTTGTTACAATATATTTAATTAGAACGTAAAATATAAAGAGTAAAAGCTCACTATATCTTCTTAATAAGAAGACTAAGTGAAAACGAAATAACTCGAATATACGGTATACTTTTTCTTCCGGCGAATAACGATATATAGATCTACGTTATATAATTTAATAGTCTCATTATATTTTTTAAGGAGACTACGTTTACGTTTTTCGAAATTCTCGTTCGCTCTTCGCTCATCAGTCTTTTTTTTAACACTTTCTTCTCTTTTATCTCGCTTTTTAAAAGCTTACAGAGTCGGATGAGCTACGGATACTAAAGACATCATCTCTTATGTGCGACGTAAGCCTAGGAGATATCTTTCGCATCGACGGCGGCGATCGCCCGCTGGTATCAAAGATTTATCGTGGCCCTGATATCCTCTCTTTCGGAGGGGACCAGAAATAGGCCATTACCTTCTCTCAAAAGGGTTATCGATTTGGGAGCCAATAGTAAGTCCGTAAGTACAATACGGTACCGTTTTCTCTGGAAGTGAATGGAATGTGAGAGCCTAAAAGGGGGCCCTCGAGAAACATTTATGTCCGACGAGGTAAGCTAGAACCACAGATCATGGTAGAGCCGGAATGGGCCCTCTTTAGGGATCGTTTTCGCTGTAAGGAGAACGGTTACTGTATGCAAAGGAGAATTTGACCACAGCATTTCCATAGTGCGTTCAGTGTCTTCCCGATGCCCCAGCGAAATTTGTTTTTCTACCTCGTGAATAATGGAATCTCGGTCAACCATAGTGACACTGGCGCAACTTGCCTTTTACGCTCTGCGCGTTTCCCAATTAAAGATTAGTTACATCTCTCAACCATCGCCCCCGCCGTCTAGGGCCAGTGTTAATATCTCGTGCCACCGAGTACCCGCTATCAGGTACTTCGGTCCCTGACCGACAAACAGCCGAGGACCAGCCCAGGTATGGTAGTACGCAAAGCTGTAGTAACAGGGCAGTCGCAAACGCCCCCAAAACCGCCATAGGATTCTCACTCGCCTCAAGCACGTGCATTGGTACACCCTATCTCCTTGTCGACTCGAGAAGGAACCTGCACGTGATCTTGGTCCTTTGCCGTTATTATATGTAGGAGAGGGTGTGGCTAGTAAAGTTTGAAGCCTTCATTATAAATCAATACTACAGAGACTTCTCGTGTTTCAAGGGTGTAGTAGAACTTACTAAGACAATTAATTTCACAACTTCTTGTCACGCAGCAGCTGCACCACCTTCTCGTGACCACCCTCTGATGCTGCTTGGAGCGCATTGCCATAGAGCCCTCCTTGAGCATTGAAATCCGCTCCACGATCGAGGAGTGTCTGCACCACCTTCTCGTGGCCGTACTCACTTGCCCAGATTGTGCAGCGTTCATAGGGGTCGGTCTAAAAGGGGAGGCGTGCGAAGAAGGTGACGGAGGGAAGGCAGCTAACGAACCAGCATCCAAAGATTAGACGGCATAACTGGTGGGTATCCGGCGTAAACTTGTCATTGATCGCAATCCAGCGGTGACACTGCTAAAGGAGGTGGTGGGGATTAGCAGGCAGACCCTGGCGGAGGATCATCCCTCGCGACTGGCCTCGCAGCACGCGCTGGCAATCGCAAATCAGGCGAATAGACAGGTGAAGAAGGCGGTGACACTGTTGGAGGAGGTGGTGCGGATTGAAGGGCAGACGCTGGCTGAGGATCATCCCTCGCGATTGGCGTCGCAGCACAATCTGGCCATTATCTTCTGGAGGATCGGCCAGCATTCTACAGCCTTGGAAATGTTGAGACATGTTGTGGAGATCCGCCAAAGAGTGCTTGACCACGACCACCATGATCGTGTGGCTTCTGAGGAATGGCTCGAACTTTTCGAGAATAGCCCGCCTGGTTCTTAGTACGTAGTTACTAACTTACTCTCAACGGAACATGTGTCTCTATGAACGTGGCAGGAAGACATTCTTTCATTATGGGCAAAGCGTACAATTGCGTTGACCAAGCGATTCAACTGGTGAAGCACCAGACGCGGACTGTGAGAATATAGGGAATTTCTCATTATAGTATTGTAGCTACACCTGTCTACTCTGATAATCCTAAAGACAAATAGACGAGTCAATCATCGTGGAAAATGTAAGATAGAACAGAAATTCGTCAATCCCAAAGCCTCAATTTCCCGCTGTCCCTTGTCCATCTCCGTGACTACTGTCTCCGTTCTTGCAATTGATCTCTTTGATAGATGACTTTGACAACTACACAGCGGCTGCTTCTGCGATGCTATTTCTCTGCCTTCACGCCTCCGTTGTGCTTCAACTTATGTCGTCGTAACTCATGATCTTGGCATTGCCGACCACCGTGCATTTGATGGACGTTCGAGAGACTTTCTCATTATTCTGCTCAAACAGCAATCGGTTCTCTTCGCCCAATATTGCAAATAGTCTTTCTGCGGCGTTGAATGCTTTTTGGAGACGAAATTTGCAGTCTTGCCCAAGAGACTGTGTTTCTTCCTCCAGCTTTTCTCGCAAGAAGGCCATTTTTTCAGCAGTCACGGGCGTGGCTAAGGGAACTTCAGTGGCAGGAACATTAGTCTGGATCAGTTCAACCTGGTTGGATACATGATTGTTTTCGGGTCGCTGGAGGTCTTGCAGAACGCGGGTTGGGTTAAAGAGGACAAGACTCGCTTTTGCCCACGCGGCTTTAATATTTCAGGATATCAGTGCCTGGTGGCGAGCTCGACTGAAACAATTTAAAGGAAAATGATGATATCCCGTGCCCGGACTCTGAATGTCAAGCTTCTGCCGTCGTCCTTCGTGGACAGAATGCACTTCAAGAACCATGAAGCGCGAGTGCAAAATTACGATATCTTTCAGACATACAGCTAATCACCACGCTCTTAACAATTCGGATGTGACTGCGTATTCCTAGACGAACAACAGGCATAAGGTTCATATGCAAGGCCGCCACTTACGAAAACCGGGAGCGCGGCTGTCATTGAACACATTTGGGAAGCCGTGAGGATAATGCTATGTTCGACTTGCAGTCGGATTTATGCGAGAGAGCAATACTGCAGACTACCTTGGACAAACATTTTCCACACCAGGATTCGGCCGTTCTCTTTCCGCTACTTTGAGCACTTCTGCACCTCTACTTATGAGATAGGCTCCCATGGGCTTCGCTTTCTTCGCAAAAGAAGACTACTGGAAATACCAACGAGATGTACAATATCTAGAGGACAGTACGTATTGTGCTGCGCAATCCACGATTGAAGCACATGCGGCCGCAGTTTGGACACCAGAATCGCAGGAGATTGTGGGAGCAAACACCATGAAAGACAGTGAATGCAGAAAGCTATTGTACTCTGGAACCAGGTGCATGAAGATACTTAAAAGAAAAGCACCACATCTCCAGCAACGAACCCCGTGTCAGACGTTCACCGAAGAAATCATTCGAGAAGCGGATTTGACATCGATTTGTCTGCGGCGTATCCCGTCCGGACTGGTCGTTAAACGTACGGATGATATGGAGATTTGGATGAAGGACTTTGCATTTGAACTGCCAATGGTGGATGTTGCTCTTCAGCCTTGATACAGCGCCAGGCAAGGGAGCGCCTTCATCTCTGCTGCTATCATTGATTCTTGCTCTTAGGACTGGTAATGCTTCCACAGATTTCACTAATATGCGATTGAATCTCCTTGAATGACGCTCCATTGCGAATATTCAGGAACAGGTCGCTTATTTGATCGTCTTGAGCGTTTGCAAGAACCCAGAACAGTTCCTGTAGAGATTTTTGGACCTCGTCTGGCCCCAGGTGTGAGCAATCCATGGAATCGTATCTACGATTCTGCTGTATTGGTTCGCTCATGATGCAAGACTTCCCATGTTCGGTGAATTTTGTGGAGGTGTTGGTTTCGTCTTCTCGGGTTGAGTTCTAGTGTCTTGTTAGCTTTCAGCTTCGAGCAACATGTGGGATGATGTGATCAACCCCTGAATGTGGTTGCCAGGTGCCCATCGGCGTCTCGGCCTCGCTGAGAGTATAGTGACAGTTTCCTTCGGATACTCGCTCAGGTCGATAATGAATGGTTGAGAATGAGAACGAGGATGAGAATGTTCACAAGAAGCTCACTGAGTTTAGCTTTAAAAGAAATCCAAGTGATTTGCATACCTCGGCAGCGTAATCTGGTGAATTATCCCATGTTGGAATGTTAGCAAGTTCCGGCGCAATGCGATACGAATCAGACTGGTTTGAACATCGGTCACTCAGTGAAACTATTCCTGAAACCTAGAAGCGCGCAGGAAAGCAATGGCTCCGAAATCTCAAACTCAGCCGTGCCTTTTTGGGTAAAGTGAAAGCGCAAACAGCTAGGTGCAACCGCCGACCTATCACAGCATAGCCGCGCGAGTACTGAAACTTGGCCTGGCAACATAATTCGTCCCGATCCTCTGCCGTTGTCAAGCAACCAAGCCGAAGGACCTGCACAGTGTCGACACTCACAGTTTACGGTGCATACATTCATTCGACGGCTCGGCGTTATTCATGCTCTGTGTCACCTAGTAAGAATTGGGGTCTCATGATCCAAAAGTGGTTCGAACACGAAGGCAATATTGTTCTGGACAGGGTTGCGGTGTTCCTTGAGGGATGAGATGTCCTCAATAAGGAGAGGTATTAATTCAGCAAGGAATTTATTAGCCTGGTCCAATGGCCATGACGAATGCAGTGCTGGGCCAGGCACACGCTTATGTCCGTGCTGATGACCCGTTAGAAGAATTTTTAACCGGTTCCTCATTTATAGAAGGGTGAAGAGTCAGTATCCACTTGAAGGTCATTCCGACTCTATCAGTAGCGTGGTGGTTTCGCCTGACGCGAATAGCCTCAAGTTCAGCTGATACGTGATAGTCATCGCGGTGTGAAATACGCCAAGACGCTAGTAATTATAGCTATAAAAGCAGCCTCCCCGACCAGATAGATTGAGAATAGTCGAATACACTTTTACACTTCATTTCACAGTTAGTAGTGTAATGGGAGAAGTTTCAAGTGGTGGGTAGCTTTATGATTGGCTGGGGCGTCGACACTAGACTAGGGTTCTTCTTACATAGTTCTCGGGGGGCTATCATTTATAGAATGGACAATCAATCAATCAATCAAGTTACCAACAGAGAGAACTCCCTTTGGTTGAGGGTGCGTGTTAGGAAGAGGCTATGCCCACCGCCGTACGAGTTGATGCCCATGGCTAGTAGCCTCGTCCCAGTTCAGTAGCAACGCTTATTCCATTAGTACGTAATCTTACAACTAGTTACGGACTTAAGGGAACGACGGCGAAGCCTCGAGGTAACCGCCTTAAGGCTACGCTATTTATAATTCTTTAAACGACACTCTATAGAAGCGAAGTACTTCGTTTTATAACTTTAAAAAGTCGAGATTACGAACTCTTACGATTCTTAACTCTATAGTACGAGAACTTAAGTTAAAGAGAAGATAGAAGTATCGTCGTTCTTCGAAACTATTTCTTTTTTCTTCTCGATACGTTATTATCGATGATTACTATTAATTCGAGAAGAACTTTCGTCTTCGTAAGCTCTTATAACGTATTAAAAATATATAAAAAGCTTACTTAGTAGTAATAAAAAAGTTAAAAAATCGACTTTAATTATTAAGAAACTATATATTAGAACGGAGACTAACTAAAAAGAAAAAAGCTTATATCTATCGAATCTAGTTACGAATTACCCGATACATCGTCGATTAATTAGAAACGATAACGCTATAGACCGAGAAATAAGATAACTATATATAGTTACGATAACTAAAATTTTTACGAAAACTTACGAAACGTTACGATACTTAGCGTTCGAAGATCGAGATTTAAGATAAGAAAAGAAAAATATTAAGAAATAGATATTTATATAAAGAATTATTTATCATTAAATACTTCGAATAGTTACGAACGATTATAACTATTTATAATTATAAGTAATAATATTTAATCTACTTAATCTAACTAAACTACTATCCTATAAACTTTAGCTTAGACTTAGATTAATAGTTAATCGTAAATAAATTATTTAGCTATAGCTTTAGAAAACTTCGTAATAATATAGAATAACGTCGGTTAACGCGTACACCGCGGCGACGAATCTAAACTAAAGAAGCCGAAATCGTACGACGAAGACCTCTCGAACGGTAAGCTTAACGATTACTTACGTAATCTCGTAAACTAAGTTAACTTTTATAACGTTCGTAGATAATAAGCCGATAAACGAGAAAAGATCGTATAGTTATTCTCTTATCTTACGAAAAAGATATATCGTCTCTTTAAAATTTATCGATACTTCTTAACTATCTTTAATATCTATTACGACTAACTTCGACGAATCTTTAAGAGCGCTAATAAATAATTACGTCTAAGAGATAAATAGAACGTAATAATTTAGAATAATTAGAACGTTCATTAATACGTTACTAAACTCGTTTATATTAGCTTACGAATTATTTCGTTTAAGTTTAATAAGAATATTAAGAAGTAGTTTCGTATAAATCTTAATATAGAATTACGACTAAAAATAATTAAGAACTTATAATATAACGTATTATTCTTAGAAGTATACGTAGCTTAGACTAATCGATACTATTAAATCGAGATCGCGAAACGTATTAAACGTAGTAATATAATAAGATTCGAATTTACTCACTACGCTTATATCGTATTCGGAAACTCTCGTAGAGATACGCGATAAGAGTTCTTCTTAAGTACTTATTTTATGAAAAATATCGAGGAATAACGAGTATAGTATAAAGATAACGATATTTACTTCGAGTATGAATCCGTAGAGTACTAAGTACGTAACTATATATAACGGAGCGAAAAGAATCGCTCGTCTAGTCGAACTATATATTCGCGTAGACGTACGTCTTAGTACGCCGACTTAAGAACGAAATAATAGTCGAAGCTCCGTAAGAAATCGCGATCGAGATTCTTCGCGATCTCGCTCTAGAAGTCGTAAACTCTCTAAGATCGTATTTTCGGAAAAAAACGTAGTTTAGAAATAATGAAAATTATTTTAAAATAAATTCTTTTAAGTCTTTTAAACGAATACGAGAAATTACGATAATACGATCTTATATTCGTTATTAATATAATACGCTTTAAATAAATATCGATATACTTAATATAGAGAATAGTTATAGAGCGGAGCACACCGTATAGAATTCGTATTCTAATCGACTTCGGCGCCGACCGATAATATATCTCGAATATATTCGTTTATAAAGCTTCGCTTATAGTCGAGAAACGAAATAACGATATAGACTAAGTTAAAGTCGCGAACGAAGTATTCGCTAAAGTATTCGAAAGTATCTTAGTTACGCTACGAATGAAATAGTATAAATCTCGAATTATCGTATAAATTTTCGATCTTTTAGATTTTAAAATTATTCTCGGATACGACTAGCTACGATGAACTAACTTCGTAATCGACTAAGTAAAGCTAATTATTACGATATAAGATAAATTAAGCGAGTATTATATACTATAACTACTTACGATTTAACTATATATCTTAACGTAACTAATCGTAACCGTCGTCGCCATCGAGAAAGTTAAGTAGAGAAAAGCTCTACGAATACTAAATTATTTAACGTCGTTAGCGTAATATATATTATCTAAGTAGAACTCGACTAATCGTATATATCTACGAAAGCTAACGTATCTTAATTAATATAGATTAATCCGCGTCTATAGAGCTTTCTAAGCGAGTTTAACGAGATCTTCTAAAAGAAAATATCTACGTAATTATCGTTTATAAGGAATTATAAGTATAATATTAATATAGATTGTTGGAAGGACTTAGAGAACTATCTAATGTATAGATAGTAAGGCTCATATAGATCGTAAACTTTATAGGTAGGTAAGTGACTATTAAAGAACTTGTAGATAACTATCTACCTAGGGAGGGTAAAGGTCTTTATATAGACAATAAGTGT